GATATCTATCCCTTGATCTCTTTTCTCTCTCGCATTATCGTGGTTTGAGTATCTTTATATCCAAACTTCATTTACAACGACTGCTGCCAACATGGCTGTGAAAAAACTGAGTTCAACCAACCTTGTACAACTCGACGAATTCTTCTTTGTGAATTCGTCCTCTCTCTATTCCTCCGAGCGCACTTCCAGCTTCCTGAAATTCTTCTATAAGGCTTCCTTTTTTAGCTGGCTCACTTGTTGGAGGTTTCTGAGACAGAGTTTGTCAGTGCGAAGAAATTAGGGTCCCCAGTCAAAATAGGAAACAATAGGAAAAATTGAAATACAAATTGGAAATTCAAAGCTTAGTCTGCCTAGCCGTTCAGCTTTGTGGAACTAAAGCGAGCTAGCAATCAGCAAAGTGGGAATCATATCCTTTTCGAGCATTTTCATCAATAAAAGAAGAATAGAAAGATGAAATATTCGCCGATTTATAACCACATTTCACCATTCGGCTATAGTATGCTCAACGCACGAAGAGGCAGAAATACAGATGAACCCACTTATTTGATGCGATAAGAATTTTACGAATACTCGCTCTTTTTGAGGTAGTTGGACTTTTATGAGGGTTTTCAAGGATCATGCAGAAGCAATATTCATGATCGCATTCCACGAAGTGATGGTATTACAATAGTGCTAGCTTATCAGCCTAACATTCGGGTTTGCACAAGTCTTGAATCCCGAACCAAAACCTTCTGGAAACCGCGTTTCTCCTCTACACTACCACGATTCGAAGCAGAGGAAGAGGTGTGGGGTCCTATAATGCAGTGGGTGAGCACCAGAAAGGCGAGACCGAGTCCAGTCCGATTTCAAACGTTGCACCTGTGAGTTCCATCCTTGTGATATCATGCGGAAACGAAAATCGTCCCTGGAAGTGTGCCTCTTCACTTTTTGAACTGGTTATTCGGGAAATTTGAGAATGGTCTTCGCAGATAAAAGAGACCAAACACTCATCTTCCTGGCTGGTTTCCACAGATGAGACTGGGAGGGATTAGCTGAAATTCGACTCCCGTATATCAATAAAATCCTGTTGCAGCTGTGGGAAGACCTTGACTGGTAACAACAAATGTTTCCGGGATCAAAGAACACTGGGGCAATTTTTCGGAGTGTGCCCTGCATTCGAATATTGTTGGAGCTCGTAAAGTTATTTGAATGCGTATTTGGTCTGTGAAGTGACCTGCGGGCTACAGTTAGTGTGACAGCTTTTGCTAGGATTTCCTAGGATACTATGGTACGAAACGATGTAGGGGAATCAAAATTTGTTCTCTTTTCGGGTTTCGATCCACTCGTTGCCGTTGAGAGTTTTTCTATGCAAAGATGAGGGAACCGTACCTTGACTTTGTTCTTGATTCTAGACAATGACAGAGTGGGGTTTGTCTGCCGGATCAGTTGAACGGCAGTATTCTGATCGATGTAACCTTTGCCATCCGGATCTTCCTCATCGAATACGCTGCCTAACCATCTGCAATCGTTGAACTCAGAAAACAAGGTATCCACTGAGATTGTGAACAAAAAAGGCTCAAGGGTCACAGGTTCTACTTACCGTTCCCGTAACGTAGCCCATGCGATAGTTGTCGGCTTGCAGTCGTCTAAAAATGATAAATTAGACCAGCAAGAATAGGACTAGGCACCCAGCTTGATTTGTTCTATTCTGGAAAAGGCCACGCATTCTACTACCATTTGAAATCAGCGTCGTCTGGGTGCTTGGGAATATAATACAATGACTTGCGGGCGAGCAGATACCCCGTGTTTGCTTTTTATCCCTCCAAACAAATTTGTTGTCAAATACATGATTCTGGAGGGAATGAAATGCCCAATTCTCCTGAGCGAAACCAAGCCGGGTTTGGCACCCGGACTGTGCGTAGGTCACTGGCTCTACATGGTTCCGCGTTTTTTTGTTCAAAGCTTTTTTGAACCTTACCAAAACCGATGATTCTAATCATCCTTTTCGAGTTCTTTGAGCTACAATTTCTAGGATTCATGTTCAGTGGTTCATTGAACATTTCAAACGTGAATTTCTTCTCGATACCTATCGAAGGTTCTGCCATACAGAGACTGTCGCGTTTAGGACTAATCCTATGCCAGTTCATGGGCCTACCCATACGCCACCTCTCTTCACGACCAATGGAGGATTATTAAGAAATAACGAAGAAAAGCGAAGATTACAGAGCATCCCCCACCTAAGGGTCCAGTTCGTACGCTATGGTGCATGCTTTCAATCAAACCCCATCTATCAGCTAAGAGAATTGAAACTCTCAAAATTCTCGAAAACTTGCAATTATCTGAACAAATTTAAAGACTGGAATGAAAAATGATTGGATAAAACGCTCACATTTGGTAGAGGTGAGGGCCATAAGGCCTGTGACCCATATGTTCGCGTCGTCGGCACAACTTGCCACAAGGTCCAGGGTCTCGTAGTCGTCGCCGTAGATAACGGAGAACAGACATTCTTCCTATACACAAAAATACAATTTTTTGTAGTAATTATGGGTGATATTGTGCTCTTTTAATGGTGATGTATCCCAAACCAAGATTTTCTGGAGAAAAAGCAAAAAATACCTGAAGTTCGCCTAAGTTTGCTTCGCTATGCCGTAGTTGTTCCGTATTTTTCCCGATTCGAATTTCTCGAATGTTTTCAATTGCTACTGAAAAGACAGTCTTCAAATGGATACTCAGTTAGAGCTCAGGGTCGTTTAAAAGCGATAGGGCAGAAAGCTGTCCATGATTGAGCCTGAAGTTGATCACTATAGAAGTTCGAATCCTAATTGCCTCAAATCAATAGGATAGTCAAGAGGCACTTGGCAAGAATTACCCAGACTTATTTGTTTATTCTTATCCTGTTTAATTGAATTTTTCGTTGAGCGACAGTAGTGTAGTGATAGCGTTCAAAATATATTTAAAATATTATGAAACAAATCGTAGACTTACTCCGCGCTTTGTGGGGCTTTTTGTTGGTGGGAGTCCATCGAATATGTGAAAGATCGGCGTCAAGGCTGCAATCGAGCTGTTACAGAAAACGTTTTTGGATGAGAGGAACATTAAATAAACTCAAGTATTTCTCAAATTTTGGACCGGACTTGAGATAATTTATCTTATGAATAAATCTGACCTGAAAAACCGTCGAAAGTGCCTCGTTGGTCCACGAAAAGTTTCACGAATTCAGTGCCAACAGTCGCTGACTAAAAAATTAATATTGATCTTATGGATGATTCTATCGACTGGGTGAAAAGTGACTGCAAGACCGGTTGTGCTAGTAGCTTGGCAATATAACTATTTCTCTGTCTGGTTACGAAAATCTGCCTAGACAACTGCTCAAGAAAATGTTCAAGTCAGAACTCGCGGTAAACTGGTGCCTTTAATTGAATGTAGAGGTGCCAAATGGTACGTTTGTGAGAACCCTCAGTTTATGATTGAGCTTTAGAGGAGAAACGGGACACCGAGATGTGTAAGCAGTTTTTATTTTCTCCAACGTTCGTTACTCCGTAGGCTTAGGCTAGAGGTCTTCCTACAGACTGGCTCCAGGGGACGCATTGCGCTTCATACTGTGATTAGTTACTTTACTATGCTATCATTCTCATAATATGTACTCGTAGCGTGGGAGAATCATTCATATACGAAACGAAAGCTAATATTAGTAGGATTCCAAGGTGATGCGGCTTGATATGAAAAATACTCTTGAGAAGAAAATCAGATAACTCTCTGGGATAGGGTAAGTCGGGAACTCTAGACACTTTTTTCACCTTATAGCAGTTTATAGGCGCTTCTGCCGCGAAAGCACCACATACTCGGATCCTCCTCTACCCCCTCCTATTTCCTCACTTTCTCTTTTATAGAAATAACTTGTTATCGTGAGTTTAGTCTTCAAGGGTTGCTGCACTCAGTACGGTTTCACTACTGTATTTTCCACTTCAAAACTCAGTTATCTTTGAAACAATTGAACTTTCAATTGAAAATTGATTTGAAAATCAGAACAAAAAGCAATCCCGGTGGAAGTCGTGTCGAAGAATCTATTCAGTGGTGGGATAGAGTAGCCCACGAGTATCACAGATGTGCCGTTGTCGCGGCTCGAAAGTGCGCGACAATGGCGCTAGGGCTTTGCAAAGTGAACTTATGACGGCTAATGTCAACTTATGGACATACCTCATCGCAAACCCCATGGTTAATCAAATATGCGCGGATTAGTGGGGCTGTGGAGCAAGTTAGTTCGTACGTCTCGTCCAGGCCCGCCCCTCTGTATTTCAAAGAGCACGGAAGAACACTTGTTCGCAGTCGGTTAGGCATCCCCCCTTTTCATCGACCGTTGTGATCCCACAAATTGGATCCGAGGGCGTTGCTTTAACTATACGAGAAACAAGCTCCCACCTTGAATAATTTCTGACGCCTCTCTATTGAGGTATGTTATTCGTCGATCAATATCTGCATTTTGTATAGAAGAAAAGACTTACCATTTGAGATTTTCTTGTCATTGTTCCTAGATGAAAACGAGACCGTTTTCCGACCAGGTGATTTTTGTCGATTCACATGCTTGATGAGCGATGAGCGAAGGGTTTTCCTGCAATTGCTGCTAATGAGTCAGCCTCAGGTAATTTGATAAATTTCATGAAAATGAAGCGAAAATTCAGAGGAACTCAATAGTCCTCTAAACCGTTGGATTCTTCGTGAGCAGAGCTATCCAGTGGTATAACTTTCGAATGACCTAATCCATTTGTTCACGAGTTATGGCGAGGCGACGGTTGCGACGGACTGACTGCGTCGCATTTCGTCGATTGAACAAAAATTAGTAGCGGTATTGTAGGTTCTCCTGATAACGGGACTACAACGTCCCATGAAATTTTGTGATTCCATGACAACCCGATAACTATTATTTTTGCCACAATTTGGATAAATTAGTTTGAATTCGGGATACTGTACAGCAAGTCCATGGGAATCAAATCTCGCTCGAGTCGGCCATGTACCCATACAGGATCAACCTTCCCTTGGACGAAACTGAACGAGGGTGGAGGTTGCAATTTTGTTTTCAAAGGAGGGCAGCCTTTTGGGGATGTAATTGGATGGGGTGGACCAGGCCCTACCATGACAGGGTGTCCCCTCTACGATGGTGAGCTTTGGGATCCTGTGGTGCTCTGACGTGGCAGGGGACCATTTCACTTACATTTTGAGTAACTCACTTCAAATGAGGTACATACTCGTATAAAGCTTGCAGATGTTTATGCCCCGTTCCAGCCCCCCCCCCTCTCCTAGGGCTATCTCAGAAATCTTCGGAACACAAGGGGAACCCTTTGCAATCCGGTAAGTTAACGTTCACATGCTGTCAAGCACACATTTCTTTTTGTTAAAGCGCGCCTCTCAGAGCCTTTTTTGGAGCTTTTCCTCAACATTCGCGTCCCCGAGTGTGTAAAAGTTCTTCTTCCCTGTGTGGAAGTTCAGCAAGCGTTTTGAAAGCAGGCGGCTCGCTGAGTGAAGGGGATGTTGCCGGGTGCGGGCGCGCGATGGCCTCGTCATCGTTTTTGGCACTCTGGCACTCAAATCGAATTAGGCATCCATCGTCCAACACACATACGACATGAGCATTTCTTCGGCGCTTTAGATCTCTGCGCCTGGGAATTTACTCTCGAAAAAGTTCACAAAAACTTACTACAGATCAAAAACAAATTAAACGAGTGAGTTGATCAGCAGATGGAGAACTCAGTAACTAACCAGAATAGTGATGAAACGTATTAATACGTGGAAAAATATATAGCATAAATGTCGACAATCATCAATATTGAAGGAGGAAGAAGAACTTTATATCGACGTTCCCTTTCTGTCGAGCGCCACACCTCCACCTCCGTTCAGAATTATAGTAAATGACTAGCCAGCTCACATATATCCGTCTATACTATTTTTTATCCTCCTAGGCGATCCAGTGCCTATAAACTAACAGAAAGATGGGCGCTTGGCGGAGCTCGCCAGAAGAGTTCAGCCCTGGACCTTTACTTGTGTTGTATGCGACGCCATTCGTAACTGAATCACTTCTGCCTACCAATTTTTCGCCAGAGCTGCCCGGGTCAAAAAACTGTCATTTCTGAGTCTTTTGAACGGATTTATGGGACACTTCACCACATTTCTGTTCAAAAGGAGCATAGTCCCTTTTGCAAATTGTGTGCGAAAAATTCGGGTGTTGCTTAGGCATCCCAAGATGCCGTACAGGGAGGAGCTGGTTAACCGTGAAGGGATTCCGTTACATATAAGCCTCAATCTAATCTCCCGTGAAAAACTGCACAGGCCAAAGAATTGAACGACCATTTGAGGACATTCACTGACTGATCCAGAGCGAGTGCTTGGCACTCGTTAAAGAGATCAGTGGATCGGGATCAGTGATTTTGATTTGCTTGTGTTTAGAAGGTAGCTAATCGTGGGTGCAATCCACCCTTTCACTAGTGATTTGAGTGCGGCGAAATATCACGGATCTTCTCGTGTAAAGGAAGTTAGTCAAGTTGAAGACAATCAAAACGGTTTCCTAGTTGTCGACTGTGCGTCCCCGAGAAAGGGAAATCCACGTTTATAGGTACTTGGACGTTTTAGTACATCAAAGGAAGGTTTTGGTAGAATAGTGAATGGGTCCAGTGTTCGCTCATATGCAGGAAATAAATATTAGGTTGTCCCATAATTAGTGAATCACTTTGGGCATTTTTCAATTTTAATTTTTTTCTTTTTCATATGAAGTGCTTGCTCATCCAAACATACACCTCTGTTATCTACAAACTATTGCCTATACATGGAAATTTAGTCGCTGTCTTTTCTCTAGAATTCCAGGAGCTATTGATCAAAGAAAGATCGGAAGTCGGTTTGAGGTCATGTCACTTAGCGTAAAATTTCTTCCTGAAGAAGTAATGGTATAGACTAGGTTATCTTTCGCTGGTACGAGGGTAGGGCTACACGGTGGAGCTGGAAGAACTGCTAGCCAAAGGTCTCCAATTTTTTATGATTTTCCGAAAGGTGGGGTCGAATGACCTCAGAAAAAACCAGACTTTGTCTTGCTTTACCCTCAGATAGAACGCGTCGCCATTATGCTGTCGACGTTTGCCTTATTCACTGACTCTAGTATTACTAGGCGGCGGTTCCCAGCGCACGGTCCCTTCTGTGCTCCACTAAAATCTCAGAAGTGCCGGACATACAGGTCCGACAGAGGTGGTTGGGCTTTTGCTGTCAGAACTCCCGAATCTTTAAGCTAGGCTGCTGCTCCTTGTGAATTTGCTAGCACACTCCACCCACTTCACAACACTGGTGAATACGCAGGATGATCACTGAAGAGGAAGTCTGGGAAACCAGAGGGAACATGGCGATTCCATATCGTGTTTGGGCAAAGATTCCAGAAAAATTGAAGTTTAAGCCTCGGAAGGCAACATGTGAATGGGCTGACTAATTGCTCAGGTAGGACAATGTGGGTACTACTTGGCAAAACATGT